AGACCACCTAAATTTTTATTCATAATAATAGTATATAGAAAGTCAATTTAAAAATGAACCAAACCTAGGGTTTGTAACCAAAAAAAAAAAAAAAAAAAAGATTGATTTTCATTGTGGAATCTAAAATTTAAAAAAAATAAATAAAATTAATTATTTAAATATAAAAAACCTCTGTTACAGCTCGTTCTGTAATAAATTATAGCATTAAAATCTTTAAAAGGAGAGGGCCTTGATATTGAATCCTTGCCTTCTCCTTTAATAACCATGATATTACAATTTATTATATGACAAATTATAATACAATATTTATTTAAATAATATATAAAATAATAAAAAAATAATAAAAAAATATTATTCTTAAATAATTTTTTCAACAAAAAAAAGACAGACGAGAACTTGACAGTTGTGGCGGTTCCACTTGACTATCTGTCACACCGACCATGTTCACCACGTGGCGCTTCCATCTCAATCCGTGGATCCTCTCTCTCTGTTTTTCTCTGAAAAGATTTTTATTTTTTTCCTATATTAATTAATTAGCTTAACCATAAAGCGAAACGTGGCATTCCCTAGAATCTTTGCTAGCATGGCCAACAAAATTTCGCGTGATGTGCATTCTCTTGAAGGGTAATCGACATTTCCTGTGTTTTCAAGACTGTTTCTAACTGATTCCCAATATCGAAGAAAATCCATCCCTTTGGGTTTATGTGAAGTCCAAGTAAGGCCTGGAGTTCGCGTGCGAGAGTTTTACCAGGATTCCGGATTCCTCTGTTTTTCCCCCATCCATTCAAGCCTCGTTTCCAGTTCAAATCCCTGAATTTGGAACCGTTTTTTGAAGAAATTGGGGGAGTTTTGTTCTGCTTTTCGCCACCACAGGTACTGTGCTCTCTTTTTTCCCTCCCCTTTTTCCTCTAGAATCGTTTGCATCTTGTGATTTTAGTGTTTTATTTCATGTTTAACATCTTGGTTTGATACTTTGTGCTTTTTAAAAAAAAAAAAAAATTGTGCTTTTTCTTTGTGGTAATTTGCAGTTGGCGATGTTTGTTTGCAGAAATCTTAAAAGTTTTGGTTATTTATTTATTTATTTAATTTCCGAATGCATAAAACCATATAGATTTGCCTTTTGTTGTAAAAAGTGTTTTTAGTTTATACATTTTCTAAAATTCGCCTTATGAGATGTTCTGGAACTCATAGTTTATTGCTATACTTTAATTTCTTGGATTAGTTAAGAGAGGGAAAGTGGGGAATGTGCTATTTTTTCATCACAGTCACGAGGTATTGTTATTTTACAGCAGTGCCAAATCGAGACCCCTGCTATTGCCTTTTCAAAGTAATAGGATGTTCTTCTGTGGTTCCAATCTTGGATGATTAGATTTTTAAAGGTTGCAAGTGGCAAAAATTGTGGTGAAGTGAGAGATGGACATTGCTGGTCTTTTAACTTCTGCTGGAATTAATATAGCAATATGTGTGGTGCTCTTTTCCTTGTATTCTATACTGAGAAAGCAACCAAGCAACATGATTGTGTACTTTGGGAGGAACGCTGCAAGAACAACTGCAGGTCATTCTTTCAGCTTTGACAGATTTGTGCCAAGCCCTAGCTGGATTTTGGAGGCCTGGAAGGCAACTGATGAAGACCTATTACGAATTGGTGGTGTCGATGCTGTAGCTTTCATGAGGATAATCATTTTTAGGTGCCTAAGTCCTCCCTGGAAAGTGAAATTTTAATTTTCTCGTTGCAAGTTTGGTTCCACTTACTCTCCTTCTATTTGGATTTTTTTTTTTTTTTTTTTTTTTTTTCCAGTGAATTACTATGGAGAAGCAAAGCATCAAAAGCACATCCACACTGAATCACTAGAAGTATTTACAATTGCAAATATAAAAGAAGGTTCACAATGGTATGTTCTCTTGAGTCCACTGCATCTGCGATGATGTGATGCTTCTGTTATTTTTGAATAATTTTAGATGCTGTCTTATGGAATTCTCTTCAATTCTTCTAAGTATTTCTATAGTGTATGTTCACCAAACTAAGAGAGAAAATTTATGGGCTCTTTCCTTTCTTTTCTTTCTCTTGGTTTCTTGCCCCCATGTGGCTTGCAGGTGCCTGGCAGGGTTAAATAGAACTATAACCTTTCTATTTTGCCACTGTTGCTCCTCTAAGCTGACATACTTGGTGGCAGTCCCCCACATAGTATTTTTTGATAGAATATATTGGAATAGAAATATGGTTATTTATTATGTTCTTTATTTCTTGACTTTCTCCAGGCTCTGGGCTCATTGTCTTGCATTGTATGTCATAACTTGCGCAGCTTGCATTCTGCTTTACGTTGTAAGAATGAAAAACCATCTTGCATTATGATGTATTCATGTCTACTTTTAATTTAATTATTCATTCTTAATCTTTTATTTGATGTCATTTTAATCAATTTTTTCTCTCTTCTAGGAGTATAAAAGCATCACAAAAATGAGGTTAGAACACATTAAGGGGTCTCCTCCTAATCCAAGTCATTTCACAGTTCTTGTCCGTGGTATCCCGTCATCTGAAACAGAATCATACAGTGAGACAGTGAAAAAGTTCTTTACAGATTATTATGCATCAAGCTACTTGTCACACCAAATAGTATACCGGGCTAGTAAAGTTCAGAGGCTGATGGTACATGTCTTTCTTATGGAATTCACACATAAAGAAACCACACATAACCACTTCTTTTTGCCACTTACAAGTTTTGCATTAAATGGAGTCATAATATACAATAATACATGATTAGAAGGTCTTCTTATTTTTTATTTCTTTTTTCAGGTCATTAAATTTATACTTGATTTCTTTTGGTCTTTATATAATTGTGACAAGATTTATTTTTTTATTTGCAAAATTGGACAAGTACTAGCAATTGATGATTTTGTGCTCTCTTTAAGTTGGACTGAGTTAATGTTGTCTTCGTAGAGTGAGGTAGAGAATATGTGCAAGAGGTTTAAAACTGTTGCTGTTGAGAGAGAGACAATACGATGTAGAGAAAGTTCAATGCCATGCTTTTTTTGTGGAGGGACTAGACAATCCTTTACGACGCTTAAAGAAACAGAAAATGGTAACAGTACCACCAACCTTGCCGCACTGGGACTGGTTCAGCGTGAAAAATTAAATCGTGAAGTAAGAGGAGTCAAATTTTATTTCTTAACTCATTACTTATTCATATGCTATTGTCATTTATGTCTCCAACTATGAATGCAATTTTGCCAAAAGATTTTATTTCCAATCAAGAAGGCAGCTTTGCATATAAATCCTCAGTTGATGTGGTATGTTCTGCGATGCAATTTGAATTCATCATACTCTAGTTCCCTTGAGAACAAGAAGTTCTGTTTGGTAATCTCAGGTCTTTGTTAGCCCTAGTGGTTTTAAAACTAAAGATTTTGCAAGGCATTAACAGGACATCGTACTCATGTGTCTTTCCCTGTTAATTTTGGCCTTAATTGGGCATAATGTATGGTAAAGGAGCTTAAAAGCCCAAAGTTAAGCCATACCCAGCAGGGGCATTCATTTTGCTATCAGCACGTTGATTATTATAATGCATTTATCTTTGATCACATGCAAAATGATTGTTGTTGAGGGTGATTTTGGGAAAAACAAACAAGTTCAGAGCTATCTTAGGGATTATCCTTGACTTTAAAAGGCATTTTTCTATCTATTAGTTTTATTTTCAATTATGAAAGCATTAACTTAGGGATTCTTCTTGTAAAATAGTGTAATGAGTAAAGGTTTATTGCTCAGTTTTAGCAACTAATAAAATCATTCTTGTCCCAATTTCTATGTAAGTTGTGTGGCCTACTCAGTTTGAGCATTTATGGCAACAGATAATTCTAACCATTGAAAGGATGCTTAAATATGGTAGTACCATGTGTTTTGTCCCTGAATTGGTCTTCAATTTTTTCCACCTTCTCAACTGCTAAAATCTCTCTTTTCTGTTTGATCCTTTCGTTATTCTGTTGCTATCATGTGAAATCCATGTTTGAAAGCTTATGTTAGTAGTGGGTTGGGAATCCCAAGTCTGATGTCACATGGGTATTCGTCATTGTTACAGGAGTGTCCAGCTGCTTTTGTTTTTTTCAAGACTCGTTTCGCTGCTGTCATTGCTGCACAAGTTCTTCAATCATCAAACCCCATGTTATGGGTGACTGAACTAGCGCCTGAGCCACATGATGTTTATTGGTCTAATCTCTGCATATCATACAGGCAACTTTGGCTTCGTAAAATAGCAATTCTTCTGGCTTCCATAGCCTTCATGTTTGTGTTCCTCATTCCAGTAACATTTGTACAAAGCTTGACTCAACTAGAAAAGTTATCTCGAACACTTCCATTTCTCAGAGGAATTCTAAAACAGTGAGTATCATACTATCCATTCTATTAGATGAATGCTTTTTTTTTTTTGGTTTCCCAATTGTTATCATGTACCATGGTCAATACTTATGTGTTGATGTCATATGTCAGTAGGAGGAATGGGTTGCAGCAAATAAACTTGAATCTGGAAATTTCCATATCAAATATGTCCTCATGTATAAACTATTTGTCTATTTTTGCTATTTTCCTTCTCTCATTTAATTATGATTATAAACTACATTGTCATTATGGAGATCAGAAGTCTGTAAGCTTAGTTCACCACAGTATTGTTTTGCCAACAACATTTTAGCATTAGTATTTCCTGAGATCTGTTATGCGTGGGTGATTTTGATTTTTGAGAATGAAACAAAAGGCAACAACTAAGTGGACAGAATCAGATTTCCCTTAAGAATCAGATAGATAATCTTTTTCAGAATTGGTAGAAAGTGGACCAAAAAAGTGATGATCTTTCACTACGTTCTTGTTGATTTTGTATTTTATGATTAATATATGTACCAAATTTCTTCAACATGTGTTAATACAGATGAATTTTTCATTTCAGATGTTAAGAAAAGTTACCTAGTATTTTTCTTTTAAGTTGGTTTCAGTCAATAACCTCTGTTGTTTATCTTGTCAGGCAGTTGGGTTTGGTTTGGTTTTATATCTAGTGGAAAATAAAAATCTTTGAAGTCCACATCACTGGTCAGGACCTACTTTAAGTGGCACCAGACTGGTCAAATATGGAACTCTAGTTATTGTATTGAACACAATATGCTGCCTTTGCAATTTCATCATATTTATTTTTTGGTTCCTTAACTCATCATTAAGAGGAAAACAAGGGAAGATAAGTGGGAACTATTTAAGAGAGTGTAGTGTTGAAATGACATTGCTTATGAAATTAACATGCTCTTTATGTGCAGGAAGTTTATGAATCAGGTGGTAACGGGTTACTTACCAAGTGTGATTCTGATATTATTTTTGTACACTGTTCCGCCAACAATGATGCTATTTTCAAAACTGGAGGGATCCACCTCACAAAGTGGGAGGAAATATAGTGCATGCATCAAAGTTGTGTACTTCACAATTTGGAATGTTTTCTTTGTTAATGTTCTTTCTGGGTCTTTTATCAGCCAAGTGAGTGTGTTTACAAGTGTAAGAGATATCCCTACACAACTAGCCAAAGCAGTGCCAGCTCAGGTGATTCTTCATGATTCCTTATTATATTGCATTGATATTGCTGCATCTTCATCTTTTATCATATTTCTCGACATCCATGAGCTGATCTTTCTGTTAACTATATTCATCTTTTTGAGATGTATGAGAAACTTATTTTGTGTTGCTTGGAATTGTTATTTTCTGAGTTTTGAGGTTCCAAATATGTAACCAAATGAAAAGACCAAAGGTCTGACTAGAGAATACTTATAGATGTACAGTTTATTGTTAGGTGCTTGGCGCAAATGTGAGGCTTTTAACTTTAGTTGTGGCTTTTTGAATATCCACAGGTTACATTCTTCATGACTTATGTTTTATCATCGGGGTGGGCGAGCTTGGCATGTGAAGTCATTCAGCTTTTCGCACTTCTCTGCAATATCATAAAAAAATTCAAACCCAGAATGAAGGATGATTCAACCAATGCTGTTTTTTCCTTTCCATACCATACTGAAATTCCAAGACTTCTTCTGTTTGGGCTCCTTGGCTTTACTTGTGCTGTCATGGCACCCTTGATCTTACCCTTTTTGCTGGTTTACTATTTCCTTGCTTATCTTGTCTACCGGAATCAGGTGCATGTTTCTCCAATCTATGTTCTGTGGTTTCCTACATTCCTGATCTTGAATCAAATATAGTGAATTCTTGATTTTATTTCTCTAGTATCTGTAATGTGCTTTAAAACATATTTAACCATGATTTGTCAATCTTGTGGAGCATGAAGGAAATAAGTTCTGTGTTTTCCTACATTTTTGAATCAAATATAATGAATAACTGATTTTATTTCTCAACTATCAGTAACGTGCTTTAAAACATATTTAACTATGTTTTGTCAGTCTTGTGGAGCATGAAGGAAATATGTGCATTTCAAGATACCTAGAGTGAAAATTTCGGAATAGAGGAGATAACAGTCTGATTTAAGATTTGTAACTTGAGCAATGTTTTTGCTGGTGACAGGACTAAGCTCCTGTTTTAGTTGCGTTGGTACCTTTGAAACAATTCATTCCTTACATATTCTTGAAATAATTCAGTTGTTTTCTTATTCAATTATTTCAGATGCTCAATGTCTATGTGTCAAAATATCAAACTGCGGGACGGTTTTGGCCTATTGTTCACAACACAACAATCTTTTCATTGGTGTTGACGCAAATCATAGCCCTTGGGGTTTTTGGAATAAAACAATCACCTGTTGCATCTGGTTTCACCATTCCGTTGATTATTCTGACTTTGCTGTTCAATGAGTATTGTAGGCAGCGGTTTTCCCCCATTTTTAAGCGAAGTACTGCACAGGTTGCCATCAGAATGCTCTTTCTCTCTCCCTCAACATAAATTTTCATCATGTTTCAAGAATGATTTGTTAGTATTTTACAGGATCTAATAGATTTGGATCGAAAACACGACCAATCTCAACAGTTGGAAGAAATATATCAACGTCTCCACTCTGATTATTGCCAGTTTCCATCTAAATTTGATAACATGCCTGAAGCTGGACATAGCGATCATCATGGAGATCAGGAGAGCATCATAGATCCAGAGTCTGTGAATTCAGGTAAGGTTCTGTTAGTGCTTGGAGATTCTGTAGAATCAAAGAATAACTGCTTAGATTATTATGTGTTTTATCCTTTTCAGGAAATAAATCACCGGCTCTTAATCACAATTTGGAGAGAGAAGGAAGTGGAGGCAAGGAAATTAATGAACCATAATAGGTTTAGATGTCGCATTAAGACCATACTCGTGGCAATGGTGCTTGTTGCCACCAAGAGACTGGGAATCCCAAAACTAATGCATATTCTGCCCCAGCATGAGGGACCAGGATACTAGAAGCAGGAATTTTGCCGTCCCAGAAGTTGGTAATTCTTTTGTTCATTATACTTAGTAGGGGTGAGGAAAGACACTTTGATACTGATATTCCATATATACAGAGTTTCAATTCAGGATTCCTTCCTGTAAATTGACCTTGTTAGTGTATGCGTATCAAGGGTAAAAGAAAAACCCGTTGTGGAATACTGATAGGCCGGGTCAGGATATGTGCTCTTCGGCCTTATCGCTTCTTGGATCTCAATCCACAGAACTCTGTTTAGAGGGGGCTTTCCATCCATTTTTTCACTTCTGATTATGGGTTTAGGGTCTAATGGCCTTTATTCTCTTGCAATAAAAAGGCCTGAAAATATCAGGTTGAAATAGGTTTTTTATCTTTTGGTTCAAACTAACTCCAATTTGATCTACTAGTGTTAGTTTGCATAAGAACGGCTCAAATTAACTTCGTTAATTGATAACTGTTTTATGTTTTTCAGTTCAGACTATATCATAAAAATGTAATTTAGGCACAAATTATTAAATTGCTATTAATAAATGAACATAAAAAAAAGTTTATTAAAGGTATTTTATTATTTTAGTGTCCATCTGTCTGAACTCTATTTTAATGTGCAGTCTAATATGGAAAACACTTTTTGAATTACAGTTAAAATATTTGACCTTCTCCAGTGTGTCGTACAGATTTAATACAATTTTATGTCATTTTATTTATTTCGCAATTTGGCATCATATATGACAATATAGGCTGGGTTACTACCGCCCATTATTTTGTTAATGTCATCTATTTTAACTATAATTTTATTAATTTATGATTTTGTTTTCTAAATAGTTGTTTATGATGTTTAGAAATATTTATTTTATAATTATTTTTAATTTATTAAATAATAAATATTAACTATTTTATTAATTATTAATTATTTTTAATAGTTAAATTATGATAAAAAATTAATAGTGAACCCCAACAAATTTAAGGTGATTATAACCATAACCGATAAAATGCCGCTGATCTAAGAACAACTTAATTTTTTAACCAAAAATGAAAATGAAAAAAAAAAAAAAGAATGAGAAAGAAAAAAGAACAGCTTATTTATTATTTATGTCTCTTGACAGCTCAATATGACCGACTATGGCGGCTATTTCTAAGTCATCTTTGAAAGTAGAAATGATAGTACATTTTTTAATGAAAAGAAATTAAAACAAGATTGTCCCGACAAAAACGAAGAGAATTGTTCATGTTAGTGTCATTATCAGATTTTTATTTATAAAGTGTGGCAGATTAATTTATTTTAATGTTGAAGAAATTAATCCATAAAATAACGAAAAGTAGGCATAGAAGTCGTCGTTTGGTTGTTTGTCGTGGGTAAGACGTCCTGCCCTTTTTTGGTGTTTTATTAACGTCAAGTTTTGTGCCATTTTCTTAAGTCAATTTTGAAATCTTGATCTTTCGTTTATGGCATTTTCTGCTTTGCCTCTTCTTCTTTAGGGATATTCCTTCTTTACTTTACAGACTCAAATTAGCTTTAGCTTCTTCTCCTTTCTCTGATTATATATTATTAATTTTTAGAGGGTGTTTGGTACATATTGTGAAAAGAGCTTTTTGGCTCTAAAAGCACATACTTTACCAAATGGGTCAGCTTCTCAAACGTGCTGTAGCTTTCGAGAAGCTCACCTTCTCGCTGTTCCTTTGCAAAACTTGAAAGCTCCAATTTTTTACTTTCGCGAGAGCTTCTCGCTTCGTGTTTAATTAAATTGACATGATTTTTTCATTTTATCTTCACACTCTCTTTTATTTACAAAAAAACTAGTATATAAGAGTCCAATTTATAACATCACCTACCAAGCAACCCAAGCACATTTGTTTCTTCTTCCTCATCTAATCAGAGAAACAAATCGAAAATACTCACCCAATCAGAGAAACAAACCAAAAATATTTAATTATTTTATTTCTCATTCAATCAAAGAAACAAACTGAAAATACTTACCGTATTCTTCCTCATCTTCTTTCCCCCTAAACCGAAAATCCCCTCATCTTTTGTTTGGAGATGAACCCAGGAGCTGGGTTCACGGCGAACCCCGCACTTGGGTTTTGAGATGAACCCAGCGCCTAGGTTTGCGACGAACCCAGCGCCTGGGTTTGTGATGAAACCAATGCCTGGGTTTCGAGACGAACCCAATGCTTAGGTTCCGAGACAAACCTAGGAGCTTGGTTCGACACGAACAGGTGCGGGATTCGTCGCAAACCCCTCCCCTGGGTTTCAAAACGAACCCAGGCGCAGGATTCGTCGCGAAACCTAGGAGCTGGGTTCCGTGACAAACCTGGGTTCGTGCAAACCCAAAGCTAAAAAAAAAAAAAAAAGAAAGAAGAAGAAGAAGTAGCAGAATCTTTCCAAAAATAAACCGAACACTTAATATTATTAGAAAAATACTGTATTTGTAAGCATCTTATGTATTGTATAGGGGAATTTATAATTTCTTTAAAAAAACAAATTGCGTCGAGTTTAAGTGTGAGTTCATCTTTTGTTTAAAAAATCTGAAAGGAAAAGAGGGATAGCTGGTAATGTTCATTGCTAAATAGAAACATCGTTACATGTGGAAATTTTATTTAAAGTAATTTTACTTTTATTTTCTATCGTTGGTTTTTAATGTATAATATTTGAATGATGGACCAATTTTATGAGATCAAAATTAAGATTAATGAATAAAATATGAATTATGTCATTTAAAATATTAAAAAGTAAAGTCTATATTATTTAATAATTTGTACTTTTTATTTTATTAAAATTGATAATATATATTCTATGTATTTATTTATTTAATAACATAATTTGTACCAAATCATTGATCTAGATTTTTTATTCCAAAATCCTGTCCTCTGTATTACTACTCCTAATATTTTGGAAAATATATTTTTAACAAGATTTTAAATGCCTTGCCTATGTAGTTTTAGTTTCTATTTTATTTATGTGTTGTAGTAAGAGAAATGAACTCTAAAATGACAATTTTAAATTGTATTTAATATAAGGTGAAAGGGTATATTAATCTATGTACTTTTTGAGTTATTT